GAACTGTTTGCCTTCTCTGTGCCTCAATGTCCCCATTAGTACAGTGAGACCATGTTAGTACCTACATTTTAAGATTATTGAGGAAATTAAACGAATTAATGCATGCAAAGTGCAAAGAACAATACTCCATTAAAGTAGTGCTTAATAAGTAATACATACTCACTAAAGTTTTGTTTTTTTTTTTTTTTTTTTTTTTTTTTAATTTGGCCCTGATCAAAACTCTGAGGTGTCAGCAAGGTAAGGATTATTGCCCCCAGTTAGAATGTGTTACCCAGAGAGGTTAAGGAGTTTGCCAAGAATCACACTTAGTAATAGAGTTCAAACAAGTCTCTGGTCTTCTGACTTGTTGGCCAACACATTTTCCCTTTCTTCCTCTCTTTCTCCTTTCCTTCCTTCCTTCCTTCTTTCTTTCTTTCTTTCTTTCTTTCTTTCTTTCTTTCTTTCTTTCTTTCTTTCTTTCTTTCTTCTCTCTCTCTCTCTCTTTCTTTCTTTCTTTCTTTCTTGCTTGGATTACAGACATGTACCACCACGCCCAGCTAATTTTTGTATTTTCAGTAGAGATGGGGTCTCAACATGCTGGCCAGGATGGTCTTGATCTCCTGATGCTGTGATCCACCCACCTCGGCTTCCCAAACTGCTGGAATTATAGGCATGAGCCACCGTGCGTGGCCAGCTAACCAACACATTTTCTACCACTGCTTACCGCATTAGGAGTTCTGAGAAGTGGTGAGTGAGCAGGTCAGATGAGGAGTAGTGTTGCATAAGACAGGAAATTCTTCTCATCAAATCATGCCTTCACAGAGCCCTCAGCTACAGCCACCCCACCTAAGAGTCAACTAGTCTTTACCATCAGCCCCCTTAAACTGAGGTTCATCCTTTAATTGTCTCTGATTCCAGGTCCCTCGCCTGTTGGTTTTCAGAGCTGGTGGGAGATTTAACCTGCCCTCAGCCTGACCAAGTACATCCCACTGAGTTCCTGATGAGCAAAATGTTCAAACAAACTAGTAATCTGATTAGCCCCAGTGCCTCCTGCTCTGGTTAGCCCCATGCCATGCTAATAAAAGAGGAGGGAGATTAAATTAGTAATGATGTTGAGGTGGTGGAGCTGCTGAAATGTGTTTATAAATGGATTTTTAATATAAAAAATACGGACAATTGGCACTGGCAATTAGTATATAATGAAGGCCCTTGTAGCTGGAGCTGCTGATAAGAGGATAACAAATTGAAGTGTGAGAAACCCCCAAAGAAATAGACTTTGAGAGTTAAATATCTGGAAATATTCATACAACCGGTAACTATGGGCTTTCCTTTGCCATTGGTTAGGGTGATCAAAGAGGGGAGGCCAGGAGTGGTGACTCATGCCTGTAATCCCAGCATTTTGGGAGGCTGAGGCGGGTGGATCACAAGGTCAGGAGTTCAAGACCAGCCTGGCCAATATGGTGAAATCCCGGCTCTACTAAAAGTACAAAAATTAGCCAGGCATGGTGGTGGGCGCCTGTAGTCCCAGCTACTTGGGAAGCTGAGGCAGGAGAATCACTTGAACCCGGGAAATGGAGATTGCAGTGAGCTGAGATGGTGCCACTGCACTCTGACCTGAACAAAAGTAAGACCCTATAAAAAAAAAAAAAAAAAAAAAAAAAAAAAAAAAAAAAGCAGACAAGCAGATAGCAGGAATTACGCTAATATCATGAAGGGCAGGGCAGAGTGGGATCCTTTCAGCAGGTGAAAGCAGATTTTTTGGGAAATTAGCAAACGGTGGTGGCAAAATCATCAGAGAACGGAGCCTGGCTTACAGGCCTGGGTAGTGAGGGCTAGGAGAATAAGCAGGTTACTGCTATGATGACAATATTCCAGGGAAGCAAATCGAAAAAAAATCATTCCAATGGGTTCAGGAATCTGAAATATCTTGCTGTAACTTTGACTGCATTTTAAAAAATAGCAGCTTTATTGAGAAATAATTCACACACCACAAAATTCACTCTTCCAAAGGGTACAATCCAGTGGTCTCTGAAGTATATTCACATTTGTGCAACCATTACCACTATCAATTTTGGAACATTTTATTTTCTTAGGCACTTTATTCAGGTATATTGCGTTAAAAGTTGTGCATATTTAATGTGTACATCTCAAGGAGTTTGGGGATAAGTATACAACTGTGAAACCATCACCATTATTAAGGCCATAAATATATCCATCACCTCCCAAAGTTTCCTCCTGCCCTCTTTATTATTATTTTTGGGTGTGTGGTAATAACACCTAATGTAAGATCTAGTCTTTTCCAACATAGTATAGTAGACCTCCAGAGCTTATTTATCTTGCATAACTAAAACATTGTACCCTTCGATCATCACTTCCCGATTTCCCTCTTCCCCCTACTCTCTGCTTGTAAACGTTTGACTGTTTTAGATTCCACATATAAGTGAGATCATGCAGCATTTGTCTTTATCCGCCTGACTTATTTTACTGAACAAAATGCCCTCCAGGTTCATCTGTGTTGGTACAAACGACAGGATTTCCTTCTTTTTTTAAAGGCTGAATAATATTCCACTGTGTGTATGTACTATGTATACTTCCTTTATCCATTCATTCACCCATGGACATTTAGGTTGTTTTCATATCTTGGTTATTGTGATAAGGCTGCAATGAAAATAAAAGCACCAATATCTCTACAATGTACTGATTTTCTCTCTCTTGCTTGTGGTATTTTGTTTTGTTTTGTAGTTAAAGATGGGGTCTTTCTCTGTCACTCAAGCTGAAGTGCAGAAGTCTGATCATAGCTCACTGCAGCCTCAAACTCCTAGACTCAAGAGAGCCTCCTGCCTTGGTCTCCCAAGTAACTAGGATTACAGATGTGGGCCACTGTGCCTTGGTCTTGGTTTCCTTTCTTTTGGATACATATCCAGAACTATGATTCCTGAATCATAGGGTAGTTATCTTTTTAGTTTTTTGAGGAAACTCCATACTTTTTCCCGTAATCGCTTTACCAATATCCATTCCTACTGATTGTGTATAAGGATTCCCTTTTCTCCGCATCTTTGCCAGCATTTGTTATCTTTGGTTTTGTTTTAAATAACTGCCATTCTAACAGATGCGAGGTTATATCTTTTTGCAGCTTTGATTTGCATTTCCTTGACAATTAATGATGTTGAACACCTTTTTAATACCCGTTGGCCATTTATATGTCTTCTTTTGAGAAATGTATATTCAAGTCTTTTGCCTATTTTTAAATCAGTTTATTTGCTTTTTTTGTTCTTTACTTGTATGAGTTCCTTGTATATTATGGATATTTACCCCTTATCAGTTATATGGCTTGCAAATATTTTCTCCTATTCCATAAGTTGCCTTTTCATTTTGTTGATTGCTTCCTTTGCTGTGCAGAAGATTTTATTAGTTTATTTCATTAGTTTATTTTTGAAAGAAAAACTATACTCTTTAGCAGTTGCCCTTCATTCCTCTCATCCCTCCAGCCCTGAGAACCACTAGTCTTCTTTCTGTCTCTCTGGATTTGCTGACTCTGGACATTTTATATAAATGGACATTTTATACAACCCATACAATATGTGGCCTTTTGTGTCTTGCTTCTTTTACTTAGCTTAATGTTTTAAAGGTTCATCTACGTTGTAGTATATATCAGACCATCATTCCTTTTTATGGCTGAATAATATTCCAATGTGTGGATATATGGATATAACAGATTTTGTTTTTCCATTCTTCAGTTGGTGGACATCTGGATTGTTTCCACTTGAAAGATCTTATGCTGCTATAAATATTCATATTAAAGTTTTTGTGTGGACATATTTTTTCCTTTCTTTTGGGTATATACCTAGGATTGAAATTGCTAAGTCTTATGGTAGCACTCTATGTTCACCTTTTTAGGGAACTGCCAAATATTTTCACAGCAGCTACACAATTTTGCATTCCTATCAGTAACGTATGAGTGTTCCAATTTCTGTACATTCTCACCAACATTTATCTTCCAAATTTAAAAAAAATTATAGCCATCACAGTGTGTGTGAAGAGGTATCTCATTGTGGTTTTCATTTGCATTTCCCTAATGACTAGTAATGTGGAGCATGTTTTCTTGTATTTATTGGCCATTTGTATATCTTCTTTGGAGAATTGTCTATTCAGAACCTTTGCCCAATTTTTAATTGGGTTGTTTGTCTTTTTATGGCTGAGTTGTAATGCTTCTTTATGTAGTCTGAATAGTAGATCTTTTCAGATATGTGATTTATGAATATTTTCTTCTATTCTATGTGCTTTGTTTTCACTTTCTTGACAGTGTCCTTCGATGCACGAAAAGTTTTAGTTTTGATGAAGTCCAATTAATTTGTTTTTTCTTTGTTGCTTATGCTTTTAGTGTCATCTGCCTGCTTTTTTAAGGCAGCAGTTCTTGATCTTTTCTATCCTATTACCACTCCAGCCCCATCTCCAATCACTCTATTGAAAGTCTTTATTCCCAAGCAAAGAAATTAAAAGCTGACTTTTCTGAGAACTTGTTGATAAGCTTCCCGGCCTTCTGCTATGATGTGGTTAATTGATGGGAAGCTGTGAGACCAGACCCAATCACAGTGGGATGGAGGGAGGCAGTAGCAAATTATATTTCCATAGTTCTACAACACAAATACACTCAACTATTTCCATTAGTAGTTGAAGGTTGTTATAATATAGTTGAAGAAATGTCACCTTTGCAGTGGCTAAACAATACAAACATGGAATATTTTTCAAATGACTTTAGTATCAATGGCAATAAATGTGGTTGTTTTAACGAAAGCACTAAAGGCAAAAATAATATTGGTGTGTTATTTAAAAATAACCATAACTGATGTGAACACCCCGTTTCCCACCAATCCTAGACTGAAACCCATATTATGTATGCCTCTAGGTTTCTTCTCCATGTCTTTGAGGCTGCCTCCCACTACACTTTTTTTTTTGAGACAAGATGTCCCTCTGTCACCCAAACTGTAGTGCAGTGGTGCGATCTTGCCTCACTGTAGTCTCCACTTCCCAAGCTCAGGTGATCCTCCCACCTCAGCCTCCTGAGTAGCTGGGACTACACCATGCTTGGCTAATTTTTATATTTTTTTTGTAGAGACAGGATGTATTAATCAGAGGTCTCTTGAGGGACAGAATAGGAGATATGTATATATGAAGGGGAGTTTATTAAGGAGTATTGACTCACACGATCACAAGGTGAAGTCCCACAGCAGGCCATCTGCAACCTGAGGAACAAAGAAGCCAGTCTTAGTCCCAAAATCTCAAAAGTAGGGAAGCCAACAGTGCAGCCTTCCGTCTGTGGCTGAAGGCCTGAGAGCCCTGGCCAACCACTGGTGTAAGTCCATGAATCCAAATGCCAAAGAACTTGGAGTCTGATGTTCGAGAGCAGGAAGCATCCAATACAGGAAAAAGATAATGGTCAGAAGACTCAGACAGTCAGCTTCTTCCACTTTCTTCTGCCTGCTTTTATCCTAGCCACGCTGGCAGCTGATTGGATGGTGCCCACCCAGATTGAGAGTAGGTCTGCTTCTCCCAGTCCACTGACTCAAATGTTCATCTCCTTCGGCAACACCCTCAGAGACACACCCAGAAACAATACTTTGCATTCTTCAATCCAGTCAAGTTGGCACTCAATATTAACCACCACATGGGATTTTCCCATGTTGCACAGGCTGGTCTCAAACTCCTGAGCTCAAGCAATCCATTCGCCTCAGCTTCCCAAATTGCTGGGATTACAGTGTGAGCCACTGTGCCCAGTTCCACTTTACATGCCCAACTTTTACTGATTTTTAAAATCCAGCTCACTTCCTTCATGAAGCTTTCCCTGACTTTCCTCATCCTTTAACCTCAAAGCAGCCTGAGGCGAGGGGTGCTAGTCGAACTGTGTGTGGACTGATGGCTTGCAAAGAGCCAAGTTTCAGGATGAGGAGATAGAGAAAGCCTCCAGTTGAGAGAACCAGGCCTAAGAGGAGTTTGATTTTATAGATCAGGGGCAATCGAATAGTGCAATGGTGAAACACTTAGTGACTAATATGCTGTGACCTTGGGAAAACTGTTTGCTTTCTCTGTACTTCAGTTTCCCATCTGTTCGAGGAGATTATATTAGTATCTACCTCACAAGCATGTTAAGGAAATTAAATTAATTCGTAAATGCAAAGGACTAAGGGTGATGCTCCATTAGAGCAGTTTTTGACAAGTAATGTGTACTTGTTACAGGCTTTATTTATATATTTAAACATTTTATTTGGTCTTCTCATGTGAGAAGCCCGGGGCAGATCTCAAGGGCTCAATTTCCATTCCACAGGAGGTTCTCACAAATGGTATAACATGCACAGAACACACTGGGATATGGGAGGTAGCAAAGACTCCTGTACCATAGCAGTGTCTCTAGTAACATTTGGATACAGAATTTTGAGCAGACATAAAAAATCCAAAAATATCCACAAATAAATGTTTAGAATTAATAGGCAACATCATTTATATAGACCAGCAACAAATAGAAAAAAATTTACATGATAAAATTGACAATTGCAACAAAAGCGTCAATTATGTAGAATTTAGTATAACAGAGGATGTACACAATCTTCACAATGAATACTACAGGGCATTGCTGATAGACATTTTAAAATATCTGGAGAAATGGAGATATATATCATGTTCATGGATTGAAAGAGTCAATATTGTTTAGATGTTAATTCTCCCAAAATTGATCTACAGGCCCAATGTGATTCCAATAAAGATAACAGTAGGTTGTGTGTCTGTAAACTGATAAGCTGATTATGAAATTTATATGGAAATGCAAAGGGCTGAGAATATGTAAGACAATCCTGAAGAATAACAAAACTGGGGGCACTTACACCACCTTATATCAAGATTTATAAAGCCTCAGTAATTTAGTCAGTGTGTTATTGTCACAAGGATATAAAAAATATTCCTGAACAATGGAACAGAGCAGAGAGTCCAGAGACTGATCCAATACATTTCAATTGACTTATGTCAAAGATGAAACTGCAGTGCAGTGTAGGAAGGATGGCCTTTTTAATGGTGCTGGACCTCACCACTCTTCTCAGATCTGAAGCAAAGCACCACTTTTTGAACTCTGCCCATGATTTGTACCAATTTGTCAATTACATCACCAAAGGAGAAAATATCAGAGGAGAGGACTGGGGTCCTTATTTGGTTTGGACATTTGTCCTCTCCAAATCGCATTTTGAAATGTGATCCCCAATGTTGGAGGTGGGACTTGGTGAGAGGAGTCTGGGTCAATGGGAGTGGATCCCTCATGAATGGCTTGGTGCCTTCCTTCTAGATATTAGTGAGTGCTCACTTTGAGTTCACATGAGAGCTGGTTGTTAAGGGCAGCTGGGGACCTCCCCCTTTTCTCTCTTGCTCCCTCTCTTGCCATGTGACACTACACCTGTTTTCCCTTCACCTTCTACGATGAGTAAAATTTCCTGGGGCCTCTCCAGAAGCTGAGCAGATGGTGGTGTCATGCTTGTGCAGCCTGCAGAACCATAAGCCAAATAAACCTCTTTTCTTTACAAATTACCCAGCCTCAGGTATTCCTGTATAGCAACACAAAATGATCTAATACAGTTCCTAAGAAACACTAACATATGAGGGACCCATGGAGAAAGGAAAGCCCAGAAAACAGAGTAAGAAGGAGTAGTCAGAGACATAGGAGACCAATTAGGACTATGTGGGAATCTGTAAGCAGAGAAAATAGAGTGTTTCCAGAAGAAAGCATTTACTATGCCCAGTGCTGCTGAGAGTAAGGAAGGTGAGAATTGAAATGAGTCCCTGAGATTTGGCTAGGTGGAAGTTGTTGATGGCCTTGAAAAAAGTTGTTTTGATGGAGCAGTGAGCTTTGCAGCCCGACTGGAGAGATTTCGGGAAAGAAATGGTGGAACAGAAGTGGATAGAAGGAGGCCGAGCATGGTGGAGAGAAGGAGGCCTGGCGTGGTGGCTCCTGCCTGTAATCCCAGCACTTTGGGAAGCCAAGGCGGGCGGATCACGTGAGGTCGGGAGTTCAAGACCAGCTTGGCTAACATGGAGAAACCCCATCTCTACTAAAAATACAAAATTAGCTGGGTATGGTGGTGCATGCCTATAATCCCAGCTACTAGGGATACTGAGGCATGAGGATCACTTTAACTCGGGAGGCGGAGGTTGTGGTGAGCTGAGATCGCACCATTGCAGTCCAGCCTGGGCAACAAGAGCAAGAGCGAAACTCTGTCTCAAAAAAAAAAAAAAAAAAAAGAAGTGGAGAGAAGGAGTCTAGACTATTACTTGGAAGAGTTTTGCTGACACAAGGTGGGGGCAGCTGGCGGGACACGTAGAGTTGAGGGAAGACATTTTTTGTAAGGATGTGACCAACAGGGTTGTCTTGTGTTAATGTGATGAGGCCAGTGACCATAACAAATCATGTGGCTGACTTTATTTTAAAAACTGTTCATGAGTTATCTTATTTGATCCTCACTGACCCTGTGAGGTAGGTAGACGCAATTATTAACCCGAGTTTACAGCTGAGGAAACAGGCTCGGAGAGATAAAGCAACCTAGCCTAGGTTGCAGAGCTAATAAGTGGCAAACTAGGTTCTGATCCTAAGCAGATGTCACCAGAGTCTAGGCTCTTAGCCAATGTACACAACATTGCCACCCAGAGAAGAGGAAGTAAATGGAAAGACTGGAGAGAAAGAAAGGTGAGAGGGGATTCGTGAGGTGCTGAAACTCTGAAGATCATGGGAAACAGAATCCAGGGAAGGGGCTGACCTAGGATGGAGAGAGGGAGGACCTCTCTCTAAGTGAGACACACAGCTAGGAAGTGGCCGTGATGGTTAATAATGAATGTCAACTTGACTGGATTGATGGATGCAAAGTATTGATCCTGGGTGTGTCTGTGAGGGTGTTGCCAAATGAGATTAACATTTGAGTCAGTGGGCTGGGAAAGGTAGACCCATCCTTAATCTGTGTGGTCACCATCCAATCAGCTGCCAGTGTGGCTAGGATAAAAGCAGGCCGAGGAATGTGGAATAACTAGATTGGCTTAGTCTTCCGGCTTCCATCTTTTTCCCATGCTGGATGCTTCCTGCTCTCGAACATCAGACTCCAAGTTCTCCAGCTTTTGGACTCTTGGACCTTCAACCACAGATGGAAGGCTGCACTGTTGGCTTCCCTACTTTTGAGGTTTTGGGACTCAGACTGACTTCCTTGCTTGTCAGCTTGCAGATGTCCTATTGTGGGACTCCACCTTGTGATCATGTGAGTCAATATTCCTTTATAAGTTCCCTTTCATATATGCACTAACCTATTAGTTCTGTCCCTCTAGAGAGCGCTAATACAGAATTCAAACCCAGGACTCACTGCAGAGAGTCGATTGCAGAAAACAGAAAATGTCTTCGTGGGCTTGTAGATGAGGAGCAAGGCCTGGTTTGCTCCATCATGTCAAACATGAAGCTACTTTAGGGTAACCCAGAGGAAACTGGTGTTATTTTTCTTTTTCTTTTTTTTTTTTTAAGCAGCCAGCTTCCATGCACAGAGCAGGCAGCTGGGAGACAAAGGATTAGTGCTCAACTCCAACTCTGCCACTGACTCACTGAAGGGTTAGCAAGTACATTGTCCTCAGCATCTATCTAGGCTCAACCTTTCTTACCTGTCTTGCAGCCTATACAACACAACCATAAGTAAGTGACCACCCCCACTTTCTGTTTTACTTTAGGCCCTCTAGGATCATCCAGGCAAGTCCACCCTGCCCCAGATCTCCCACTTTTATTAATTCAACAAATATTTAATTGCATTCTTTTTATTTTCTTTTCCTCTCTCTTTTTAATTAATCAATTAATTTATTGACTTATTTTTAAGACAGAGTCTTGCTCTGTCACCCAGGGTGGAGTGCAGTGGTGCAATCTCAGCTCACTGCAACCTCTGCCCAACAGGTTCAAGCAATTCTCCTGCCTCAGCCTCACGAGTAGCTGGGATTACAGGTGGGCACCACCATGCCCAGCTAATTTTTTGTATTTTTAGTAGAGGTGGGTTTCGTCATGTTGGCCAGGCTAGTCTCAAACTCCTGACCTCGTGATCCACCTGCCTCAGCCTCCCAAAGTGCTGGGATTACAGGCGTGAGCCATCGTGCCTGGCGCTCTCTCTTTAATTTTGAGACAGGCTTTCGCTCTGTTACCCAGGCTGAAGTCCAGTGGCACTATCTCAGTTCACTGCACCTTCGAACTACTGGGCTCAAGTCATCCTTCTGCCTCAGTCTTCAGAGGAGCTGGGACCACAGGCACCTGGCTTGATTGCTTTCTTTGTGTTAGGCACTATGCCAGTGGCTGGGAATCTAGGGGTGAACAAATCGGACAAGGTCTAGGCCATCAGGAAGCCTGTGGTCTGCAGGGGGCCACAGGCCAAGAAGAAGCAACTTCACAGGATGCTCGAATGAAAGACTGTTATGAGTGCTATGAGGTTAAAGGGCAGAGTACTGTCCTGGAGAGCATGAAAGGATGGCTGAGCTACTGCCAACAGGACGGTCAAGGATGATGTCTCTTGAGGAGGTGGTGTTTGAAGAGAGACTTGGATGATGTGAAGGAGGCAGTCATGTGATGATCTGTGGATAGAGCATTCCAGGTTCAGGAAATAGTAGTAATAAAAGTGCTGAGGCAGGAGCAAACTTCACATGTTAGAGGGATGGCAAGAAAGCCAGTGTAGCTGGGTGGAGAGAATGAGGAGAAGAAAGGGAGATGAGGTCAGAGAGGTGATGGCCAAATAATGGCTTCCTCACAAGATGCCCACACCTTAATTCCTGGAACCTATGAATATGTTAAGTAACATAGCAAAGGGGACTTTGCTGAGGTGATTAAGGTTACAGGCCTTAACATAGGGAAACTAATCCTGGATTAACCAAGTGAGTTCAGTCTTGTCACGTGAACCCTTAAAGCAAAGACTTTTTCTGGCTGGAGTCAGAAGAGATGCAGTAGAAGTCAGAGAGATTCAAAGTGTGAGAGTGACTGGACATATCATTACTGGCTCTGAGTTGTAGGGACCATAGTCAAGGACCAGAGAGCAGTCTCTAGGAGCTAAGGGTAGTTCCTGCCTGATAGTCAGCAGGAAAATGGGCACCTCAGTCTTACAACAGCAAGGAAATGTATTCTGCCAACAACCTGAATGACCTTGGAAGCAGATTCTTCCCAGAGCTTCCTAATAAGAGTCCAGCCCACCAACCCCTTGATTTTGGCCTCGTGAGACTCAGAGCAGAGAAACCAGTTGAGTCCCCTCAGACTTCTGCTCACCTCCAGAACTGTGAGATAATAAATCTGTGTTGTTTTAAGCCACTGAGTTTGTGGTAGTTTTTACAGCAGCCTCAGGAAACTAATACATCATAGTAAGGAATTTAGATTCAATCTAATTGCCCAGGGAAGCCACTGGGAGGCTTTAAGCAGAGCAGTGACACAAGGGAACTTCTGAGGAGGGAACTTCTCTTTTGTGTCCTCACTCACGGCCTTGATGTTCCTGCCTTGTCTCATGCCTTTAAATACACTTACTATTTTGTTGACTCCCAGATTTGTATCTCCAACCCACTCAAGAGCCTTATCTTACTGCCTACTTAGCATCTCCACTCAGATATTCAACACTTTATTTCAAACAACTGTGCATGACCCAAAAAGAGCTCCTGACATATCTTCCCCTCAACCTGCTCTTCCTGCTGTTTCCCTTGCCTCAGTAAATGGCAATTCCATTCCTTCATTGGGTCAGACTCAAAACTTTTAAGACATTGTTGATTCTGCTCCTCATCTCATGCCCTACCTCTAATCCATCAGCAATTCAGGTCAGCTCTACCATCAGAAAACATTCAGAGCACAGTCACTTCTCACTACCATGCTGCTATCCTCCTGGTTTGAGAAACCACCATCTCTCATATGGATCATTGCAATAGCTAATTGCTTATCCTTTGGGCTCCTGTAGCTAACTGGCCACTAAGATTGGAACTCCTTCTATGGTAGGGAGCTGTTGCTGGGAAGTGGATGTCCAGACAGGACTATTTCTCAAGTTCTTGTCTATTCAGGTGGGACCATATGACTTGTTCTCACCATTGGGATATCAGCAGAAATAATATATGTCATATAAATTAAGATGACCATTATCTTATTTATAAGTAATAAGAAAATAAGATAACTAGTAATAAGAAAAAAGAAAAACATTTGGATCAAGGCGGCTAAGAAGCAGGTGTTTCTTATTTCTTCTTCCTCTACTTCTGTGGCTCAAAACTTAGAGGGATTTGTTCCCCTGCCAGGGGACATTTGGCAATGCCTGGAGACACTTTTCATTTTCATGACTTGGGGATGGGATGTGCTACTGGCATTTAGTGGGCAATGGCCAGGATACTGCTAAACATCCTACAGTATCCAGCACAGCTCCCCTAAACAAAGAATTATCCAGCTCAAAATGTCAACAGTGCTGAAGGTGAGAAACCCTGTAGGATAAAAATCTTTGGACCCTAGTGGGTGGCAGAACCACAAAATCAAAAGAATTTGGTTTCTCGAATAACTATGTGGAAGACCATCTACAAACCCGGAATGCTCATGTTGGACTGCTAAAGTGAATTAAACCACTGAAATGCTTAGGTTTGTTTGTTAATTAAAACATTCTTTTAAGTCATTCTCAAAAGAGCAGGCATAATGATCCTGTTGAAACATAACTCAGGTTATATCACTCTTCTGCTTAGAAACTCCCAATGTCTCCCCATCACAGTCCAAGTAAAAGCCAAAGTCCTTATGATGGCCTAAAAAGCCCTATGTGGCCGGGTGCGTTGACTCATGCCTGTAATCCCAGCACTTTGGGAGGCCAAGGTGGGTGGATCATGAGGTCAATAGTTCAAGACCAGCCTGGCCAACATGGTGAAACTCTGTATCTACTAAAAATACAAAAATTAGCCAGATGTGGTGGCGAGCACCTGTAATAACAGCTACTCGGGAGGCTGAGGCAGAGAATTACTTGAACCCAGGAGGCAGATGTTGCAGTGAGCCGAGATTGCACCACTGCACTCCAGCCTGGGCCACAGAGCGAGACTCCATCTCAAACAAAACAAAACAAAACAAACAAACAACAAACAAAAAACTTCTATGCGATATGGCTTCCCAATATTCTCCTGACCACGTCTTCTACCACTTTTCCCTATGCTACTGTGCTCCTACTAACCTGGCCTCTTTGCCTTCTTGAACCGTCTTGGCAGCCTCCAACATTAGGGTGCTTGCACTGGCTATTCCCTTTGTTTTAAATGCTCTTCCCCCAGACAACCACATGATGTCCTCTCTCAGCTTCTTAAAAAAATTATTTTTTTTTTTACTTCCACATAATCAGTGGAAGAATTTAATCATTTTATCAATCATTTATTTCATGTTTAACTCTTATTACATCTAAATTTAAAAGGATTGCTAAGAAGTTGTGAGGATTTGTGAAGCAGGAGTCTCTAGATTCTGGTACTTTCTTTTTTAAAAAAAAAAAACTTTCTAAAAATTAAAAAAAGTTTCAACAGCTTTTGAGGTACACCTGGTTTTTGGTTACATGGATGAACTGTGCAGTGGTGAAGTTTGAGATTTCAGTGCACTTGTCACCTTGATAGTGTACACTGCGCCCAATATTTAGTTTTTTTACTTTTTGCCCTGCTTCTGAGCCTCCATAGTCCATGATACCACTCAGCATGCCTTTGCGTACCCATACCTTAGCTCCTACTTATAAGTAAGAATAGAAAGTATTTGGTTTTCTATTCCTGGGTTACTTCACTTAGAATTAGAGCTTCCAGCTCTATCCAAGTTGCTGCAAAAGACATTATTTCATTCTTTTTATTGCCAAGTAGTATTCCAGGGTGCATATATACCACTTTTTGTTATTCACTCATTGGTTAATGGTCACTTAAATTGGCTCCATATCTTTGCAATTATGAGTTGTGCTGCCTTTATACAGTCAAGTGCAGGTGTCTTTTTGATAGAATGACTTCTTTTTATTTGGGTATATACCCAATAGTGGGATTATTGCATTGAATGGGCAGATCTACTTTTAGGAGTGTATAACCATTACTCTTTTACTACATCCACGCCAACGTTTATTGTTCTCTGACTTTTTAAAAATGGCCATTCTTGCAGGAGCATGGTGGTATCTCATTGTGTTTTTAATTGATTCCGGACCTTTCATTTATCATCTTTGTTTTGCTCATCTTCCTCTCTTCATCTGCTCCTCTCCAAACCAAGGACACACATGAAGACAAAATGAAGTCAGAACAACTGTCTGAGAGGTGTGTGGAAAGGAGGGAAAGAAGGGCAATCCTGCTCCTCGGCTTTATCGATAGTGGGAGGTGTTTATGGGTCAATTGCACACCAGCCTTGGGGCTTGTTAGGTTTTTTTTTTTTTAATCTTTCATTCTAGGTTCAGGGATATGTGTGCAGGGTTGTTACATAGGTAAATTGCATGTCATGGTGGTTTAGAGTACAAATTATTTTATCACTCAGGTAAAAAATATAGCATCCAATAGGTATTTTTTCAACCCTCACCTTTCTCTCACCCTCCACCCTCAAGTAGATCCCAGAGTCTGCTGTTCTCTTCTTTGTGTCTATGTGTTCTCAATGTTTACCTCCCACTCATAAGGGAGAACATGTGGTATTTGGCTTTCTGTTTCTGCATTAGTTCACTTAGGATAACAGCCTCCAGTGTCATCTATGTTGCTGCAAAGGACATAATCTCATTCTTTTTATGGTTGTGTAGTATTCCAGAGTGTATATGTACCACTTTTTTAAATCCAGCCCTTCATTGATGGGCATTTAGGTTGATTCCACCCAGTGGCTGTTGTGAATAACGCTTCAACACACATACATGTGCATGTGTCTTTACGATAGAATAATTTATATTCCTTTGGGTATATACCTAGTAATGCGATTGCTGAGTTGAATGGTAATTCTGTTTTAAGTTCTTTAAGAAATCACCAAACTGCTTTCCACAATGGCTGAACTAATTTACACTCCCACCAACAGTGTAAAAGTGTTCCGTTTTCTCCACAACCTCGCCAGCATGTTATTTTTTTGACTTTTTATTAACATCCCCTCTGACTGGTGTGAGATGGTATCTCATTGCCCTTTTGATTGCATTTCTCTAATAATTAGTGATGTTAAGCATTTTTTCATATGCTTGTTGGCCATTTGTATGTCTCCTTTTGAGAAGTGTCTATTCATGTCCTTTCCCACTTTTTTATGACGTTGTTCATTTTTTCTTGTTAATTTGTTTAAAATCCTGATAGATTCTGGCTATTAGACTTCTGTTGGATTCATAGCTTGAAAAATGTTCTCCCATTCTGTAGGTTGTCTGTTTACTATGTTGATAGTTTCTTTTGCTGTGCAGAATCTCTTTAGCTTTATTAGGTCCCATTTGTTCTTTTTTGTTTTTATTGCACTTGCCTTTGGCATCTTTATCATGAAATCTTTGCTGGGCATTATGTCCAGAATGGTATTTCCTGCATTACCTTTCAGGGATTTTATAGTTTGAGGTCTTACATTTAAGTCTTTAATCCATCTTGAGTTGATTTTTGTATATGGTGTCAGGAAGGTGTCCAGTTTCAATCTTCTGCATATGGCTATCCAGTTATCCCAGTATCATTTATTGAATAGGGAGTCCTTTTCCCATTGCTTGTTTTTGTCAGGTTTGTCAAAGAGCAGATGGTTGTAGGTGTGTGGCATTATTTCTGTGTTGTCTATTCTGTTCTATTGGACAGGAAGGCCACCGTCCTTCCCTGTGGAATTGCTGAAATCTGGCACCTTGTATGCTGGACCTGGGCTTGCGGGGAGGCTCTTTCTCACCCTGGCCTCCAGTGCCCACCAGGAGGATCTGCACAAGATGCCCAGCCCACTAGAGCACTTCAGCCTTTTATTGAGTGGGGCAAGTGCTGGGCTGTGGTCGTGGCCTGACGGCATCTGCCCCAGACCGCAACTCTGTGTGGGAGGCCATACTCCCTCAGCTAGCCACTGGGGCCACCACCCTGACCACCACTGTGCTACTCATTGTTACTGCCTTGTATGAGAAACTGATTAAGCCTTCGTGGCTGTGGTTGGCTGACGTGGGGTCTGTGTTTTACTTTTGTACCAGTACCATGCTGTTTTGGTTACTGTAGCGTTGTAGTATAGTTTGCAGTAGGGTAATGTGATGCCTCCAGGGTTTTTCTATTTGCCTAGGATTGCCTTGGCTATTTGAGTTCTTTTTTGGTTCCATATGAATTTTAAATTTTGTTTTCTAATTCTGTGAAGAATGTCAGTGGTAGTTTGATAGGAATAACATTGAATCTATAAATTGCTTTAGGTAGTATGGCCATTTTGACAATATTGATGGTTCCTAACCATGAGCATGGAATATTTTTGCATTTTTTTGTGTCATCTCTGATTTCTTTGAGCAGTGGTTTGTAGTTCTCCTTGAAGAGGTCCTTCACTTCCCTTGTTAGCTGTATTCCTAGGTATTTTATTCTTTTGTGGCAATTGGGAATGGGATTGTGTCTTTGATTTGACTCTCTTCTTGGATGTTGTTGATGTATAGACATGCTACTGATTTTTGTACATCGATTTTGTATCTTGAAACCTTGCTGAGGTTATTTATCAGATATGGGAGTTTCTGGGTGGAGACTATGGAGTTTTCTTGCTGTAAAATCATATCAGCTGCAAAGAGAGATAATTTTACTTCCTCTCCTACTATTTGGATGCCTTTTATATCTTTCTCTTGCCTGATTGTTCTGACTAGGGCTTCCGGTATTATGTTGAATAGGAATGGTGAGTAGGGCATCCTTGTCTTTTACCAGTTTTTAAGGGGACTGTTTCTTGCTTTTGCCCATTTAGTATGATGTTGGTTGTGAATTTTTTCATAGATGGCTCTTATTATTTTGAAGTATGTTCCATTGATGCCTCATTTGTTGAAGGTTTTTTTTTTTTTTTTTTTTTTTTTAACATGAACAGACATTGAAAATTTTCAAAAGCCTTTTCTGCATCTATTGAGATAATCAGGTGGTTTTTGTCTTTAGTTCTGTTTATGTGATGAATCACATCTATAGATTTGTGTAAGTTAAGCCAACCTTGCATCCCAAGGATAAAGCCTACTTGATTGTGGTGGATTAGCTTTTTGATGTGCTGCTGGATTCAGTTTGCTATTGTTTGGCTGGACATACTTGCATCTATGTTCATCAAGGATAATGGCCTAATGTTTTCTTTTTGTGTTGTATCTCTGCCAGGTTTCTGTATCAGGATGATTCTGGCTGTCCTCATAAAACGAGTTAGGGAGGTGTCTCTCCTTGATTTGTTTGGAATAGTTTCAATAGGAATGTTATCAGCTCTTCTTTATACATCTGGCAGAATTCAACTGTGAATCTGTCTGGTTCTGGCTTTTTTTTTTTTTTTTTTTTTTTGATTGGCAGGCTTTTTATTACTGCTTCAGTTTTGGAACTTATTATTAGTCTGTTCAGGGATTCAGTTTTTTCCTTGTTCAGTCTTGGGAGATTAGATGTGTCCATGAATTTGTTCATTTCTTCTAGGTTATCTAGCTTGTGTGCATAGAGGTGTTCATAGTAGTCTCTGAGGATTTTGTATTTTTGTGGGGTCAGTGGTAATGTCCTCTGTCATTCTGGTTGTGTTTATTTAGATCTTCTCTCTTTTTTTCTGGTATATCTTATTAATTTCTTCAATAAATCAACTCCTGGAGTCCTTGATCTTTTGCTTGTTTTTTTTTTTTTTTTTTTTTTTTTTTTTTTTTTTTTTTTTTTTTTT